ATTTGTGAATGGCTCAGCCGAACATACACTACGTGCATGTTCTGTAATATTAACATGACTTATTCACATAATTGCGACTTAATCAATAGTTTCCTATTGACATTACTGTTTACCAGGTTAATGATATATGTTTATTTTGCAAACGAGTATTATTTTTTTTAACTGTTCTGTATAAACGTAATAAACGATGTAAATATGTTCATTCAGGGCCCCATGGGAGAACACTACTTGTTGGTGAATGGGCTACCCTGTCAAAAAATTAGAAATAAATAAATAAATAAAATATATACCATGTATAAATTTAAATTAAACAAAAGAAAAAGAAGACGTATCGTAGTGGTTTTTCATGGGGACTTTTACACTTATAACAATAAGATGGGACTTAACTTTGACGACAGACATGACTTGTGTAATATGCCCTAGTCTACCATCTTATGGAATTCTCATCATATCTATCAAGATTCCCTCAACCTCGATCATTCTCTGGTGAGCTAGACTATACTTAGCCTTTTGACAAGGCCTTGTGACTCTGGCTAAGCGGCTGATATGAGTCTAGATACCCGGGGTGAACGCGCGACCGAGTGACGACCGTGATTTTCGCACTGGCGTTCACTCAGGTTTTCGCGATTAGTCTCTGTTTAGTCGCTCGGCGTCTATCAGACATGTGGCCTTGCTTAAGGGCTAGACTATACTAGGTTCGCTACTTCAAAGGTCTTCGCACACACACACCCCCTTACCCCCTACCCCCCCCCCCCCCCACCAACGAAACAAAATGTCGATCGGCCAAAGTTTCAATTTTTGGGACACCCCAAAAATCTGCTCTTACCTCCCTCCCCCCCCCCCCCACCTGCTTATTCAGCGGCTGGCTAATACGTTGCGATTTTTTTGAGACCCCCCCCCCCCGCCCCAAATTTTTTAAAAAAAATGTCCCCTTCCACCCCCCCCCCTCCCCCGCTTATTCAGCGGCTGTCTGATACGTTGGGAAATTTTTGAGACCCCCCCCCCCCCCCCAAAAAAAAAAAAAAAAAAAAAATAAATAAAAAATGTCCTCTTAACTACCTACAGCGCCCTAACTGAACAGTCAGGCTCTTCGCTGATGATTGAATGCTGTACAGCAACATCAAGACTGTCGCGAGAGTATTTACGTTTTATCAAAGATATATTTTGGAATAACTTAAACTTCATGAATACAAAGTATTAGAAACCGCAAGATGCCAACATTTCCATGTTTATCACTTTGGGTACTTTTATGGGGAAATAATATGTCAGAGATATTGAAGTGTATTTTCCTCGCTCGCTTCTCTCGCTCACAAAATTTAAAAGCGGGATAGTTTCAGACAGCGAGGTTTATGAACATGCCCATATGATGATAAATATGAGGACATTTGGGCACCTCGACGCCCAAATATCCTCACGATTCGGGCACCATTGCGCCCGATTACATCATTTATTGTATTTTATATCGAAATCGAATTTATACTAGAACAAAGTATGTTTTGTTAAACCCTCGTTCGCTTCACTTCTCGCAAAATAGAAAAATTAGGATGATTCCTGGCAACGAGATGACCGAATATATAATGTTATATTTTATCTAGTGTATATTGATGACTAAATAAAAACATTGCCCTAATATTAATATAAGTGTAATTTGTTAATGAAAATAAAATTACAATTTAAATGTAAATTTATGACTAGCTGGTTTATAAGCGTAGAAATAGAAAAAAAATGAACAAAAACACAATATTGAATCATTACATGAGGTTCGACATGGTCATGTGAAATAGAGTTATCTGCAATTATAAAACTTCTCTGATCTCACAATACTATAAAAAACAACAACATCGCATTAAATACTTATACAAATACGTCATCTGATGGCCTTAAAACAGATAAAGGGATACTCGCTAGCGTGGAGAATGAGACGTAAGAGTTCATTTGCGTCTTCGCTCCTCAACCCATGTCCATTTACTTCTCAGTTACGTGGTTATGTCGCGAGTTCGACGTTGGGTTGGTTCTAGGTGCAGATGTAGAGAGTGTGGGTATCCCGTCACGGGTCGAGCTTCCCGCCTTGGATGAAGTTACTGAGTATAGTAATGAAACTCTTAAGCTCAATTACATGCCGATTATGAGCCCAGTTCGTCCAGTTTAAAATGGAATGAACAGTCTTGCAAGTGTATACACAGAGATAAATAGGTGTAAATTGACTTACCTATAGGAGGTAATTGCTTGTCGCATAAGTGACACCCCTCAGGGAGTAATTTTACTCCCCAATGTAGGGAGTATTTTTAGAAGGTGTAAATATGCACCCCAAGGTTATGACTGTACTCTCTTTAAGGAGTGAAATTTTCATCCAATGGTGCTTAATTAACACCTTTTGGTTCCATTTTCATGAAAATTGGTTCAAATCTACACGCGTGGGGTTGAATTTTATACCCTTTATGATCGATTCCACACTCTGTGGGGAGTAAGTCTAAACCCTTCTTATGCACAGCCAATTGATCATCCCTAGAGCAATCAATCATCAATGCTTCGTAATCACCTAACAGTCACTGAATCTCACCCTTTTGTCTACGTTTCACTGCTCTAAAGAAATCAGACCAAAATGTCGAGTTATATGTCGAAAGGCTTTACTGCTTACCTAAACAACAGTTAGTGTGAACTCAACACAAGTGCAGACTGTAAGAACTAACTTATGGCTGGACGTATCGGTTCAAATGTAATGGAATTATCTAAATACACAAACTTGCCTTACCAAATATATCTTCCCTTTACTTACACATATAAGAAGACAATTATGTACTAGTTCGTTAAACAACACTTTTGCTAATTTCATTAAATTATCAAATATAACCTTCGTCAAACCCCTTATTCTTGATCGGATAACTTTCACACAAATAATATGCCCAAATGAAACATGACTAAAATATGTAAATTACGAATTCGGGGCATGCACTCACAGGGGCGGAGCTAGCTTCTTGATAAGGGGGCGGGGGGGGGGGGGGTTGACCCAATGACGATCCGCGAAGTCCTCTTACCCCGCCCCCCCCCACTCAGTGTTATTTATGGTACGCATATGCGTGTTCCCAGCGACCCCCCCCCTCTCTTTTCAGCAAAAGTCCGGTGTGTAAAGTCAATGCGGGTCGACCTTTTTATTTTGTTATACGAGCCTTTTCCAGCACCCCCCTTTCAGCAAAGGTCCGGTGTGTAAAGTCAATACGGGTAGACCTTTTTCTTTTGTTACGAGCCGGAGAGTTTGGGGACACGCATGGTATCCCTTCAATCACGGAGTGAGGGCGGGGGGGGGGGGGGACTCTTACATATACATTTATGTTTTATTATCGTCATTCAATGTGATCTATTTAAGGCCTTCATGGAAAAGGAATGAAAGATTTTAGATAGCGGTTTGTTCTAAATTTTGTAGACTTGGGTCATTTACCTGATCGCATCCGACAATAGCATTGATAAAGTGGGTGTAGAGAGTTATTTGTTATATACTCCACCCTCTTCAGAATTCATGCAGAACACATTTCATCTAGACTTTTGTTTTCCCCTGCCCACAGGACCAAAGAATTTGGGCCTTGTCCGTCCTCTCATGATCCTTCCCAGGGGTTATTCGAAGGCCAACAAGACCATAGGTCTTCAATCTTCGGGATTCCCTGTCTCAAGAACCTTCCCAAGTATTCAGAGGCTACAAGAGACCGGACCCCTCATGTCTTGTCCTTAACTTTCCTTGTCCTTATTTCAAACACTTCCAAATAATTGCCAGAAGGTCAAATTTAATTGAATTTATCCACTAATTTCATTTAAAAAAAAATATACACGACCAAATAATACCATAACAGAATTCATTTTACAAATGTTGTCGAGAAAATGACATAAAATAGACACGAAAGGAACTTACCCTAACTTTGGATAAAAAATGTAAAGGTAGATGACTATCAATAAAATTTAAACGAACGATCTATGTCACAGGAAACCGATTGTCAACTTGAAATTGGAGAATTGAAAACGGTGAATTATTTGCAATCATTTAAATAGCAACGAATTAATTTAAGTGCAACACCACGAATTATATTTAAAAAAAAGTCTTTGAAGGGGAAATTATTGAGTCGAAAGCCTTTGAAGTTTGATCATATAATAATAATGATTTTTCTGTTTTCAATTACATTAACGACAAGCGTGAGTTCTGGTAATGATAGAAAATACATTCTCACAGAATCCTACAAAACTTTCACTGAATGTTCAAGATTACATGTGCCGAAAGATTTTGGTAGAAAATGTATAAGGGATGGATAATGAGCACTGAAAGTTAAGGAAATCACGGTATTAAATAGGCCCGAAACATGTGCTTAAAACAGGTCCCTACTTGTGCAAATGAGAGTTGTGGTCTTTACTGAACAAGATTTCCAGCACATTTTTGTGAGGTTGTTTTTATTTTGATCTACGGCAGGGTAAACAAAATCCAGTATGAATTATAACCACATTCTCTCGACATATGATGCCCATACCAGAGCCCAAGATTAGCTTTAACATTATTAAATTGGCAAAAGAACATGATCAGTGGAATAAACGGCCATATAACAGAACTGCTTATCGAGAAGAATATAACGTTTATACAAAATATGTAATCTCGTATAAATGCATGTTTTAAAGATTTTTGAGAAGAGTTGGAGTAATGAAATGGGACAATAATTTGAACATTTTTTATTTGGTCTCTTCTTATAAATGGTAATCATCTTGGCAATTTACAGATCTCGACAGATACAACACCTTGGGTTGTTTCACAAGATCCTATTAGAGTCAATCGTAACTCTAAGTTGGACTTAAAAATTATGGAGAGCCATTTGTAGCCTTTAAAAAATATATATTAAAAAGCGAAAATTCAAGTACTATAGACTTTTTATTATTCTACATCAAGAACATGAAATCTTCTTGACAATAGAAAATATGAATGATTTTAATCAACATTTTATGTCTTTTAAAATAACTTGTACAAAGTATTTCCATAGATGCTAACGGCTTTCGTTAATTATTAAGTCCAACTTAAAGATAATTTCAACTTAGAATCTTTGTGAAACACCCCCTTTGCCCAGTATTTGAGCTGCAAATATAGCACAACGCTTTAAATATGACATGAATACATTTCTTCACTACAGAACAATTAAAAGAATCAACACAAGGAGGTTTAACCATTCTTAAAGACAAAGCGTTGTTTATCTTTTTTCTTTGTAAATGATGCCTAAGAAATATGCAGAATGAGAAAATTAGCATTCAAATAAAATTATACAATCAACATGTGAAATGATATAAAGTTGAATGAATCAAATCGCTTTGAAAATGGGCACATTCCTTGAATAAAACCTCACTGCGGCTTTGGAGCTTCATGACAAATGTAAGATAGGAAGTTATTCATAAGGTTGGTGATTGTTACAGCATTGGGATGAACGTTGTCTTTAAAATTCTGAGCTATGGTCATATCCCACGCGTCAATAAAAGCCAGTTCTGGAGAATCCTTCAACACCTCCCTCAACGCTAGGTCCAACGTTCTAATATACCACTCACTGTTGTGTAACTGATGAAGGAGCTTTGCATGTGATCTGGTGTTTGCGCTCTTGAAGACTACCAGTGTTTGAGGACTTCTCTTGCGTAGTCTCTGAACAGCCGCTTTGATATCTCTCATTCTCTCTTCGTACATCTCTAATGGATATGTCGTGTAGTGTGTTCCAACACAAATAAGGATTACTGATCTTGAGTCTACCTTGAGATCGTCTAATTCATTGACAATGTAATTGATCGTCTCCTTGCGTATAAAGCCCGATGGACGAACAGGAAAGCCGTGAAATTTGAAATCTATTGAGATGTTAAACTTAGCACCCTTAGCATATAGAGGCCCAGCTAAACTTTCACTTATATCTTTCGGGGAATTCCCAACTATCTCAGGTTCGTACCTATTTGCGAACTCGAGGTATAATTGTCTAGAAGTTGAGTCGCCGAAAATATGAACTGCTCTGTTCTGCAGGCACTGTAAGACATCTGTTTTGGTAAATCGACGGAGTTTGCATTGATCTGAAAACCAGATGTTCTTGCTATAGAAGCCCGAAGGAGAAGGGTTGTGTAAGTGTTGTCCTGGTCTGCAGGAAGGTAGAGAATCCTGATAGGCAAACACGCTCTTTTTCCAGCCTGTATAGTTTCAAAAGTAAGAAAATGAGTTGAAAATGTCTTCAACCAATGTTGAAGGTAAAAGGTAATAATTGTAGGACAATTACCCCCGACCGACCCCCTCTCGGACGATTAACCGTAGGATAATAAGCCCGGGAAAATTAACCCAAGGACAAACAACCTCAGTAATTACCCCCTAGGACAATCAAACCTGGGAAAATTTCTCTATGATATTAACCCCAGGACAATAATCCCTGGACAATTACCTCTAGGAAAATTAACCCTAGGACAGTTACCCCCTGGACGATAACCTCTAGGACGATCACCCCAGGACTTTACCCCCCGGGACGACTACAATCTAGGACTATCACCCGGACAATTGTCCCGGGAATAATTACCCCAGGACAATTACCCTGAGGACAACCATCCCAAGGCAATCACCAGGGGGCAATTACCCTCATGATCTTAACCTAATGACAATTACCCGCCATGGAAATTACCCTTAGGAGGAATTTGTCCCGGTATAGATATTGATCTACATGGCACTAGACCTTCATTGATATAAACATAATCGAAAGGTAACTTTAATGGAGGATGTAGAATCGGTGCCTTTTAAAGAGTGGAACTTACAAGGGCGTATCCAGGATATTTTAAGGGGAGGTGTTTTTTGCCAAATTCGTGAGAAAATATTTAGCCGCGAATCAGCTATATAGAAGGAAGGTTCGGTTGTCACTTTCGATGATCTGAGTGCAACTGTGGACTTTTACCTGTAAACAGTGTATATAGTCCGTTTTGGGAATGTAATTTAATACATATGCCTAGTTACAAAACCAAGTATTCCCAACATAGCATCCACAAATCATGCTAATTTCTGACTAATAAAAATACAAATATGACCAATGACAGCCTGTCGTTAGGTAATTCTGACATAAATTTGAATAGATTTGGATAATACTTTCTTTTTCTACTTTGTGACATGCCTAAATAGATAAATTGAAACACATGTGATCAATGTTTATAACACAGCATGCAGAATTGGACCTTTTTCTGGCCACTGTTTTAAATACAGCATGTGCCTGAGACAGGTTTCTAGTCATCTACTGACAATGTCAACTATTCATACAGTTGTTATCTTGACTTGATTTAAGTTCGAATGTAATCTATTTTTTAACAAGTCTTTGTGTGTGATATATTACAATACAAGGGTTTTATTGAAATTTAGATGAAAAGTTCTAATCAGATTCAAAATAAAGAAATGAAATAAGATAAATTAAGATTTAATTGGTAACTGATGAGATTTTATATTTGTTGGGGTCCGTACTTACTGTTAAAATCACCGATGACATTTACCGGAAGCGGGTGGTTGACTATGGGCAGCTTATGGCTATAGAAAAGAGGAGAAAATCATGTCATCTTCATTCAGAATAGTATAATATAGAATATTTAGGAGCGCTAAAACCATGGCGCTTACAAATACAAATATATGAAACGAGGACAAAAATGTACAGTCTGTCAGGAAAGAGATCACATAGATCACTGGGGAAAAGGTAAATTCTGCGGGATCTTTTGATGGTGGCAAGAAAGGTGATTTCCCTTATGGGGGATATAGTTCCATGTCTTTGATGCTGCTACTGGAAAACCCTTTTCAGCTGCTGAAAGTCTAGATTTGGGAAAGGTAAGTTTACATGTGTCGGTTGTTGAGCGAAGATTACGAGATTGTGTATATAATTTCATATAACATACATGACATTTCTTCACGATTTCATAGCTGTATGAATTCAGATTCTTTGCTCATTGGTCTACATATAGTAAAGATGACCTTTATCTGCCCATGCGCAGATTGAATATCTGAAAGATCTGGCTTGTTAGAGCACTCAACACGTCAAAATCGGATACTGTCCCAACATGACGCACATATCCATCCCTGGAATTGCTCAAGGTGTCTAAAAATATTTTCAATTCAAAAGCTACAAAGTAAATCAAACAATATATATATATATATATATATATATATATATATATATATATATAAAGTCAATAAACTAAATGTTTGTTGAATGCTAGGAAGGAAGTTAATTGCAACCATTAACCATACAGTTGTTTTAGGTAGGGCCTTGAATGTTTCAAGAGAATCAACTGTTTGAAGAAGAAAGGGTAACCGGAGCTGCTAATACAAATGCTCTTTCCCCCATTCCGGCTTTCCTTTTGCCTAACATTACTAGATGAACATAAACCCACATGTACTTTTTGTTAAATACACACCCCCACTCTACCCGCACCCGCACACACACACACACACACGCACACACACACAAATAGTCTAGCAGTGGGTGATGAAAAGATATAAAAGATATAATGAAAGAAGAAGACAAAAGTATATAAGTAGAACGTGTGAACTAGAACTAGAAGATACATGCGAAATATTAATATAATAAAAGACTACTTTATATACATACCGAGGGTGTCGTACGTTTGATATAAACCCAAAAGGCACCATAAAGAGTTGATATTGAATTACTTACACTTTGAATATTTTTTGTTCTTCCTTGCTGATGGCCTCCACTGTGTACTTCTCGCATAACTTGTGATCTGACGTGTACAGCTTCCAGTCATCACACGACAAGTTTTTATTAGAGGGCGCTACACAGAACCAAGGATATCCTGTTCTTCCATCCGTGAAGTTACAGAGAGAGTGCTGATTAGGTGGGGAAAAACGCGAGACGGGAAAGCAATATATACATAAATTATTTGTTTATTTGTTATGTGAGCCCATGGTTTTGTTATATTTGTCAAAGAAATGTTGAAGATTAGGCATGGGCTTTAGGGCCACTTTATACAGAAAACCCTATTCAAGACAAGATATTCACAATTGTCCATTTTATCACTGTTGCTAATATCACCACCATAATATATAATTCATTATATACCTTACTTAAGAAATCTAGCCATCTGATTGGTCGAAATTGCATTCATAAACTTTAACTATTCCTTTAAAATCCCCGGTAAAATTCCAAACCCATGTAATAGTTTTAAAAAATACTTTTAAAATCCCAGTAACCATGTATTTCATGTATACTCACATTTTGTATAGCTTTTGGAAGGCACATCACATCTTCAAATTCATTGACCCCCGAGTCAGATGTCCTAAAGTAACGTCCTGTAAAGATTGATTTACCAGGCTCAACAACTCGAATCCTCTGCAGGACCCGAACCGCTTCACTTGGATGGACCAACGTCACAATCACTGCAACCTTCCCAGGCCATCGCAAAGTCACATTAGCAATGTAGGTACCATTTCCTAGGTCCTTTGTGACGTCAATGCTCCAAGATGACTGTGTTTCTTCAGTGTATAGTTTGACCCGGAAGTAGTCACCTCCACAAGTCTTGACGACGTTGTGGATGTCCCTTGCAGTAATACGGATCTGTATGGTTTCATTGACTTGATATGATGCCTTCCGGCTTATGATATCTGCTGAAGAGTACACGTTGCTCGTAAACGCAATCGATTGAGATGACGAGTTTGATGGTGTATCATTCTCGGGGCTGAACTCCTTGGTCAGAGATAAACGAGAAGTGGACTGGAAAGACTGATAACAAGATTACCGTGCTCATTTATTTGATACGGTGGTGAATTGGATTCTGGCATAACGTCAAAATAACCCTTTCTAAGTATTAGATGAATTGACTATTAACTTACGTGTACATTTCCTTTAATTAACAAAAATGTTAAGATACTTCATCCTTGCGGCTGCAATGTATGTTAAACATCAAAGACGGACATTTTCCAAATTCATGGCTTGCCAATTTACAGTTTAAGTCTCGTGGAAAATAAATATACAATTGCAAAAGATATAAATGAGAGAATGATAAACGGTAAAGCTCTTTAAAGGTAAAGACCAGTATTGGAAACGCCCCAATTTCAAAAAATAAAATGGAAGCTCTCATTACCAATCATGTGAAAGAATATGTTTTGACTAATACATGATGATACAAAATTTGCCGGGAAACCACCTACTAATTCATATATTTGGTAATTTTTTTTCTCTCATGGTTTGTGAGAGATATAGGGTAGTCCCATATACATTTTTCTGTGTATAGTGCTTGTAACTTTACGAAGAATGGGCCAAATTTCTTATCATTTTGATGATTCCAGAACCTTGCAGATGCTAGATGCTAGATGGTCAACCTTTTCTGATCGATTCCACAACGTTTCTTTCACAATGCAATCGCTTGACCATAACTGGTCTTTACCTTTAACAAAGCTTGCCATAATTACAACGCCCTCCAATTCCAACAAGAAGAGTGGAGGTAGGGAGGGGGACGATGGGGAACTTTGATAAGCTGCGTATCTCTATTCTTTATCATTCATAGAGGTATCGTAGTCCAATAGTTTAAGGTGGTTAAAGGTTCTGGTCATGCGATTGCATTGTGAAAGAATCGTTGTGGAATCGATCAGAAAATGTTGTTCATCTAGCATAAGTATTGGTGTGTACTGCAAGGTTCTGTAATCATCAAAACGATTATAAATTTGGCCCAGTCTTGGTAAAGTTACAAGAACTGTACACAGAAAGATGTACATGGGACTACGCGATATCTATCCAGGCCGGATCGATATGATAATTTACCAATATATCAATTAGTTGGCGGTTTCCCGGCAAAATTTGTATCATCACGTATTAGTCAAAACATATTCTTTCATGTGATTGGTAATAAGAGCTTCCATTTCATACACTTGAATGGACATACAATGGTCGTAGAGGTCGTCGATACCCGATATGCCGGTACTTTAATATCTACATTACTTCTCGGCATTCAATGGTAGCAAGCCAAAGTTGGTGTAACTTGGTTAGCATTGTGAGCGTCTGTAAATTGTCTTCTGGCTGGAAAGTGCTTTCCATTGTACTGCACTGCATGGAGAATGCGCATATTATTGTGTGCGGGCGAGCCTGACGACGATAATTGGGGTAGTAATATATCCGTAAAAAACTTTTAAAGGCCCCACTGTACTACTTGTAGCTACTTGCGCCCTCTATATAACAAACAATGCCTAATCGGTGACCATTGGTCCCCATGATCCTCTTTTTCTTATGTTTATTGAGAGCTGAGTTGATGAGGTAGACACCTGTCTGTGACCTTCCTGGGTGGTCTAATCCCTCATAGTCAAACTAGTACAGATGGCCTTTAAGACATCGTATTACGCGTATTATGTATTATACAAATGATGCATGCGCATGAGTTCATTATACGATCTATCCGCACTCGAGTTGAGGCTGTGTGTATCTATCACACGAAGCCGTTATGCTGAGTGCGATAGATATACACAGCACCAACGAGGGCAGATAGATCGTATAATAAACGAATGTAAACATGCATCATTTATTTCATATAACGAAACTCCTAGATCCTTGTTATTTCATGTAAAAAGAATTAATTCAAGATTGTTTCGTGACAGTATATGGCTGACAAATAAATCTCAAGTTTTAATAAGTCTCAATTGAGTGCGCACACATAAGTATAGATATAGCAAGAGCACTCACCTCTACACCAATTTACGCACAGTGCTGCGCAAGAATAGGCCCATGCACACGCAGTATTCAGCGCTCTAACCTCTACGCGCACTAATGCGCGCTCTGAAAACGAGTTCAATAGTACAAGAAAATATTGCACTCCTTTTCATGAAAAAAGTGCAATAGGCTCAGTAATTGAATCACACGTGACCGCGCATGACCAATCACTTGATTAGGATCTGGGAGTAAGTTGTATAAAAACACATATTATTATGATTATTATGTTTTGCTTTATTTTCATTTCTCATAATATTACCATTCTATACACGTATATTTACCCGGGCACGGATTCTTTTCTCATGATATTACCATTCATACACGTACCTTATGTTTTGGAGGAGGTTTAAAGCCCGGGCGTGGTAACCACTGCTCAGATTGCTGGAGAATCCCAACAGAAATTGTGAAGAATATCGCCACCAGAAAGCGAATAAGGACCGACATATATTTATTATATGCCATTGTACGTGGCATAGAATATCTGCAAAAAATACAACAAATGAACTGTTGTTATCATATGAACCGGACATAAAGTCCATGTTAATTTTTGTCAACCGTCAGGAAAATGCCGCGGGAGACAATCTACATGGAATTTACATGGGTTTCTATACCAGATTTCTGTATAAGATAAGGTAAATCCTATCTCATCAACTAGCCCTTAAATGTACTATGTCCCATTTGCTGGCCAAAAAAATGAAAAGGTTAAATTTCAACGGCATTCGAAAGATAATACTAATTTAGAACTTCCCTCAAAAAAGGGGGCTTGAAAAAGTGGGAAAATAACGACTATTAGTGGTCGAATCGACTTAAGTGCTACCTAGTCAGTAAGTAATGGTCTGATTTTCAGACTTTGATGCGCAAAGATTCAATTAGTTTTATTTTGGACATTATAAGAAGAGGGTTATTGATGTAGACAAATGCTCATGTACCCTCTATACAGCTCATTTTATGTATGTTATTACCAAAGAAGGAAAAAGCCGACTAGTCACTCAATAGTGTCTGACAGTGAAGTCTAGCACGTAAACATCTTTCCTGGCATAATTTGATTAATACACTGCTAATGTTTACATTTCATTTTACATTCCACAGGACATACATGACATATTCATAATTCATTCAAAGTTCTACAGAATTTGATGTTGGCTGCAAAAGGGATATAGTATCTTAAATGAGACGGCTGAATTTTGCATGGAGAGACGTGACAAATAATTAGTGAGCGTTTTTATTGTTATTCGATGCAAGTGTAGAAGAACATCAGATAAAGAAATGTTCCTTGAAAAGCATGAATCTTCAAATGCCTTCCTATTCTAAATATGACATGTAAAAGCTGAAAACTGACGACCATATTTTTATGCCATATGTTTGTGTAGTCCCGTATACACGTGTATATGCAGTGCTCGTTATTTTACCAAGACTGTGCCAAAGTTCGTATCATGTTGATGTTTCTAGAACATTGCAGTACACACCAATACTTAAAAGATACATGATGAACTATTTCTGATCGATTCCAAACCGTTTCTTTCAAAATGCAATCGCATGGCTAGAACTCATCTTTTAGGCTAGGGCGGCACGTGCATATTTTGTTTTACACGACTGTTTAGCAAGTTCAGTCAAACATACGGTGCGAATGACTGGAGACAGAGTCTAACATTACTATTCGTGGTATTTTTTGGATTGCTGGAGCTGCACATACTCTTTGAGGCTAGGGCGGCACGTGCATATTTTGTTTTACACGACTGTTTAGCAAGTTCAGTCAAACATACGGTGCGAATGACTGGAGACAGAGTCTAACATTACTATTCGTGGTATTTTTTGGATTGCTGGAGCTGCACATACTCGGGCGTGTAGCTATGCAGCGGCCGCGATTAGCTCCATAATTGTAGGCATGGACGGCGATCCCGAGGGGCGGGAGTACACGTTCCCCCCTCAATTTTTTAGGAGGGGATTGTCCCCCCTCCCCCTGGAAATTCGAAAAAGCGCCAAAAAAGAAATATATATAGCAAATACTGACTAAAGACTGAAACACACTTAAAAGCTCCAGAGGGCCCAAGAGTACAGCGTTTAGACTAATAAAAATGCAAAAAAAAAATATTCTCGCTCGGTCGCTAGCATCACTCGCTTAATATCTTTCAAAACATACAAGTAGGCCTATTATTGTAGAAAATCTGTATTCCATTGGTATCACGTAAGCATTTAGGGAACTTTTCCATCTTCAAAATAATGACTTTATGGTAATAACACGAACTATGGACAATTAACTTGTGGTACAAAAAAAGGATGTATGACAATATTTGGGAATCTCTAAGGTACAAATAATTTGTGCCATTAAAAAAAAGTCAACTCGATAGGTTAAATGCACGGTTAAACTACCTGATCATGCTGAAGGAAAGAATGGAAAATGAAGAAGAAGTAAGTCACATTTGCTTTGAAGCAACAGGAATAAAGACATATCTGCTCACATGTAATACCGTAAAATCTCTGTTAATAATTATTCTCCAACTTTTCTTTTTCCTTTACAGAGGCGAAAAATAAAAGGGTATACAGGTGAGATGCAAACAAAAAAGAACCTGTGTCATATGAGCAATAGAGTGAATGTTCTAGAAAAGATGGTGATTGATCATAAAGCTGAGATGGACCAGCAAATTCTGAATGATCCGTCAACGGCAATGAGAATATAACGATGCGGCGTTACGGCGTTAAACTGCGGATTTACGGCGTTAAACTACGTTGTTACGGCGTTAATCTACGTCGTTACGACAAAATGACAACTATATAATTATAAAGATTCGATTTCCTTTGTATCAGTTCCGAGTTAATTATCAACGAGACAACATGAATAATGTCGATATGTCCAACCGTTACCCTTGTTCACTATGTAATAGGACCTATAATCGCACATATATCCATATGTACATCCTCATATGAAAGAGCATGTATACGAGACTGAAGATTCCAACGCTGGTGAAGAAGCTAGTGAAGACGATTTCTCCGAACCACCCTCTAAAAGGCAAAGAGTTGTAGAATCTAGCAATGATGTTGAAACAAGTGGTTCCCAAAGTGAAGGAGAGGATGAATCGTCAAAGTCATGCAGAGACACCTAACATTAAAGAACTTGAGGACAACCTTTTTTATCAAGAATGTTTAGAACAGGCCATGACATCCAACGAAGACCTCAGGGACGAAAAATATCAAAAATACATCTCCGAGGGAATGGACGAAGAAGAAGCAAAAGAAAAGGCTCACGTGAAAGTTATATGGGCTATCAAACGCAGCTTTTTCGATCTTTACTCCAAATTCTTGCAGCAGAACGTGTACCTTGGAGGAGCTAACATCAATCATGAAATCTTGTCTGATCTTACGAAAAAAAGTAGAAAATAGCACGAATCTTCGGAAAGCCGTGCAAAGAGTCCTAGCAAGACACGGTACACGATTCGAAGGGCTTATTCCAGTATCGGGATGAGAATGACAAAGATAATGAAGAAGAGACGAAGGGTGCAAATGGAAGTGACAACTAAGACTTGACATCACCTTGACAATGAACACTTTGTAGAAAACCCTAATAATATAGATTCCAAATTTACTCTTTTTCAAATTGTTGTACATCAATCGACCTTTCTGAGTTTAAACGTGCACACCTGTCTGTACGGGTCCAACAAAGAAAGACAAATTTCATATAGCTCCGTTTAGTCTCATTTGAGAACGCTCCCTATCGGCAGAGTCCAGCAGCCTAACATGTACGTTTAAATAGCCTATGGGCTTTTACACACACACACACAAAATATGTTACATACATATGTTACAATACGCTTCCTTGTCACAGTATGGGTAAATACGCGTTCCTTTATTAGTTGATCTAACCTACAACGGCGTTGTAAACAATCCTCAGAAGGTCAAACACAAAATATACAAAGAAAGTCAAAGAGTCAAAATTCCATCGACACACATGTTAAAAGTCAGTTCCAAAAAGAAAATACCTATCCAATTTTCAAAACGTCAAAAATTCCTAAAAATCTTGAAGTAAAATTCAAAATGTCAAAATTCACAAAGAATCACGTGTTGTAAGTCACTTTTTGGTCGAAATCCATAACGAGAAATTTAAAGTAAAGTTCATAAATTCTAAATGGCATAGACACACGGGTTTAAAAAAAAATAAAAAAAATAATAATAATATTTTTTTTTCTTCGAATGTCTATTTTCAAAATAAACTGTCAAAACTCTTAAACACGAGTCAATTAGAATAGTATAAGTACAAACAAATTCGTGTACAAACCCTATGGCTGTCCGTATACTCACTGCTATAACTAATGATTTTGATTATTTTTTTTACTCACCCACGGAGAGTGAAAACTGCCTCGCACCTTTGGTCAGCTAAACGTGTATTAATCGTTCAACGCCCTGATTCAATTCCAAATTTCCAGCGTCAAATAACACAATGGTTAGTATCTTTCTACTAAAGATTTTTTTTTACACCAATTGGGTAGCATACATAGGCTCCAAGTTTAGTGGATATCTGAATATGCATTATTCTTTACGTCGCATACGTGCGTCGTAAAAGTAAAACTTTAATCCGGGCCTACAAGTTATGAAGTTTTGAAATTTTAATCGCCTATTGATACCGTGGTGTGATGTTTGTTATTTTCTCGTCTTTCCTCACCTGAAATGCACATTATATGTAGACCCCCCCCCCCCCTCCCCAGTTTGTTCTCCAAACTGTGTATACAGTTCAAAGACCTGCATTTGATGTTAAAGGTATAGACCAGTTTTGGAAACGCCCCCTCTCAACAAAATGAAATTGAAGCTCTTATTACCAATCATGTGAAATAATATGTTTTTTTTGTTTTGTAGCATTGTTTTATTGTATTCATTCAGTACAAAATATATAACAAACAAACATACAGCTTCATTGATTTACATATCATATCAAAATATAAAGAAAATTGTACATCTCTTAAAACATATATGAGATAGTTTAATACACAGTACATAATATTTTCAAATTAATTATACTGAACGAATATTATAAATCAAAGAGTTACCTACAGACAGACACACCACACACGCTCACATACTCAGACACACATACAAATTTACATATCCCCCTCCCCCCTTCATTCCAAAGCTCAACAAATCCCCCCTCCCTTTCCGAGCATTCGCATCTACATATTTGTTGGAAATCCTGTCTCTTCCTTTTCCTTAAGGCCAAATTATATATTAAAAAAAAAAAGTCTGAGTCTGAGAAAGAAGTATTTGCCTCGCCGTCCTTAATTGTGGAAGTTGTCCCATTTTCTGAAGTGAAGTGTTAAAGTGCCTCTCTCCCCCGCTAATTCCTTTTCTTCTTGCCTATTTTCTATAATTCTTTTTTTAATTTCTTGAGGAATTGGGGGTCTATTTTTAGTTGAATTATATTTGAAAATCATATGTTTTGTTAAAAGAATAATGTGATTTAACAGTTGTTCTTCTCCCGCATTGGATCTTTTTAGCCCGATATGAATTTCTTGCCAGTGTAGATTTTTTAACGCTGATTAAGCAAAAAGGTCACCGCAATCCTTCCAAATATTTGCTACCTTTTCACAGGTAAAAAACAGATGCTCATAGG